CTTAATGACACTAATGTGACCACACGATACTCCAAGCGGCCGACCCTATCCGCAGCGTCGAGCCATATTGCTCAAGGTTCAGCGTTCACCCTACCAGCAGTGGCTGATGACCGATGATGGCAAACAGCTTGGATTCCCATCGGCTTCCTTTATCATTGGTCAATGCCCGGACAGCGGGACAGAAAAGGGCATAACCTACAAGCAAAATATGGGCGAGATGGTACCGAAAGCCTCCAATCGTTTTTTTTAAGTGTGCAGTTTCTTTTAGTTGCTTGTCCTTCTCAATAATTAGAACGATACAAAAGTTTGGGAAAATACCTGTGATATTTAACATGGAGGCCAAGGGCTTTCCTAACACATACCGTGGTTGCTGGCCAATGTTCACAGAATTAGCCTGTTCATCAAGCTTACTTACTTTTGTGTATTACTATATACTATTTGATAGAAATTCGTGGCATGCGAGCACGTACAAGCGGTAAAAAAGTAAAGTGGTAAAAGCAGATGTGTCCGTTTCTTTGGTCACTTTGTCGTGAAGTCGGACAAACAGCTACCATAGCCACGGACTCTCATTTGTTCCGGTCATTAATTCAGTTCGCACTGGGTTCTCTACGGAATACCTCTTTTTTTTTTTTTTTTCATCCAAAGGACTGAAGTGTACCAGCAAGTTCACAGTGTGGCGTTTAAACTGCACACTTTTTATCGCGTGCGCATCGTTTGGCCCATGCTGACAGCGCTTAAGAAAACTAGTTTACCAAAAAAACCAGACAGGCAATCTTCAGAAGCCCACAAACAGGAACAGCTGTAAAGCACTTACGTAACAGTACAAAAGTCATCAAAAATATTGCAAATAATTTAGCTTTTAAGCAAGTACACACGCATGCACCGTTTATGCTCGCTTCCACATTCCACTGCATGTTACGTGTATGACTGCACGCCATCTTCACCTCGTTCGCACATTGGATGGATGTCACGGGTGTCACAGCTGTGCAGCGACGAGCTGTTTATTCAAGTTGAAATAGGAGGTGAGTAAATATCAGCAGTACTTGGATTTGCCTTTGTTCTCCCAGTGCCATATGTGAATTGGCGGTCAGGTTTACGGGGCGATAAAGCGCATGTATTAAGAAGTGGGCACTGCATAGTCTTAGCTGTAGTCCTAGCTCATCTCGCCGAGATCGCACATGGTGTAGTTACAGTCTCTTGTTACAAGTAAAAACCGGACATACTCGAAATGTTATTCGGTACAGTGTTCGAGCACCGATTCAATTCAGCGTATTTTTCAAATTAGTGATGCACTGTTTTCAGAGAAAACTTGAAATTAACTAAAACGACCCGGTACAAAGGACGGGCGCCCAGCCGCCGGTTGTGTATGTTAATTGATGCGTGGTGCGCGGCCATTTCTTGTTCCCTTCTGGCTGGACTGCCTGTCGCTGACGATGAATGCATCTCGCTAATGCACCAAGCGATTTAGGGTTGGTGCCAGTGCTTTATTAATTAATTCGAAATTGCAAACTTGTGCGTGGGGTCATACTTGAAAGGTAAAATAGATATGCAAGCTGGTGCCGAATGCGAGAAAGTCATTTGCATCTACCATCCAAATTCGGCTGCGCCTGTATTTTTTCTTTTACGTAATGCTTTGATGCATTGAGGTTCCTCGGTATTATTGGGTCTACATTAGTGTAATTCTACTTTCTACTTTTGAAAAAAAAAAAAAAACATGTGATGCAATTTTAGCTTCAGCAACTTCGGGAATTCAATGATCGATATTGAGAAAATTGTCATTTCAGATGTTGGCACAGTTTAAGAGTTATGGTTAGTCAATAAGTACGCAATGTTGGCAAGTGATGTTATTCTGATTGTAATGCATTTCTTGAGAATTTCCATTGTATAATCTGTCGCAAATGATCTATCATCAGCTTAATGTATGTTTAATTACGTATATCTGTTCTATTTTCTTGCATGAAGTAAAAACCACTTGTCAGACTATTAATTACACAAAATCACATGATTCTTTCAGTTGTGCAACAGCAACTTTATGAAATTTACACCAAAAAATGCTGTTTACAGGAAATAATCAGGCGTAAATACTTATAGGGTTTGGCCAATTTTAATCCCAATTTTCTACAACGAAGGCATACTTTTCCAAGTCCTACAAGTACTTCGTCGAATATGCAATGAACATTTTGTTGCATTGATGCTGTTTTGTTATGGCAAGATTATCCTTCTACTGGCACCACAACCACTGGATATAGTAGAGACTTCTTCAAAGCTTCTAAACATGTGCTACATTTATCAACTTTGTAATTTATGTATTGGTTTTTTTACAGGTCAGCTATTTGTTCCTAAAAAATGTCAGCAGTGCTGAATACGCTGTGCACACAAAGCTCCATCATATTGTACTAATGTAGTTACAAAGAAGTACTGCTGGGCTGCTGAGAATAATTTTTCATTTAAAAGCCTGCAAATGTGCTTCTGCTTGGCGAGCATCAACAGAAAACAAATAAATTGGTTTTGCTTCACCTTTTATTCGCAACATCCTTATGACTTTTTGTTATGTAGACTTCTCGATGCTGTGTTATTTTGGTTGCTGTTCTTTAGAAAATGTTTCACTGATGTTTGTTTGAAAACTTGACCTATTAATACAATTTATCTAGTTTATATATACTGCCCTCCTGAAAAAAGCAAACTTCTGCCAAGTGGAGCAAGATTGAGAATTGAAACAGTTTCACTGCCACCATATTCATCACTTAAATGTTGCATAATCTTATTTCCTGTTCTATCAGCTTGCTGAATTGTGGGAGCCAGAGCACATAACCAATTTACTCATTTAAACAGTCAGCTTCATGACTAAGCGGCAGGACTGCTCAATAATGAGCATTGAAATAAAATAAAGCATTGACAACAGAAGCTACTGAACAAAAATAACCTTTGTAAATAAAGGTGCATTGACTACCTCAGTAATGTTTATAAATATAAAGATACGTATATACAAGAAAAAAACAAGGACACTAAACAGCGCTTCTGCACCAATGCTGCTTCCAGAATGCTATCAGTGAAAAAAACTGCCTTTTCTTCAATTGAGAGAATATATGTTCTGAAATGTACGAGGATAAAGAGATTTTTTTTAATTGTTTGTCTTCATTTTTTCACATTGATGGGGATCTCTCATGGCTGCACACTACTTTAGTAATAAAAATGCATCATGCAATCCAACCAGTACTTTCTTCCCGTCTATGCAAGTGCTGTCATCCTCATAATCATGCATAACCAATCAGTTTCCCAAGAAATTTTCCTACTGTGTGTTTTGTTGAAAATTGATGAAAGCCGTCGCCTAAGAGATGGCTTATTAAAGGAGAGGATCTCATGTATTTTTCTTCCCCCTTTCCAGATGAGACATACCCTGTTCATCAAAACTGACGCAGCTGTTTCAGACGTAACAAAAGGATGGCTCGTGTTTGCTTCAGGTCAAGAAGGTGCACCTATGCGAGAAGGCATGCGGCTACGATAGATGACTTCAAGAGAAGCCTTCAGAATCACAAGAGTTTGCGAAATGGAAAAATGGCATATTGCCTTCTACATAATACGTGTAAAACAAACCTTAAGCACTAAAAATATTTCTCTTGTTACTTCTCGTGGGTGGGGGGGAAGGGGGCATGAAAAATCGAGAAAAAGTAGCCAGGGCATGAAAGTGTAGTCAAGACAAAAAATTAAAATAAATGAGCCAGAAATTGCATTGGCCAAAATGCTTGGCTTCCATGCCAAGAACATGCTTGGCTATTGCATGGTATTCCAACGCAGTGACAACCATGGAAAGGGGTGTTTCCAATGATTTTCCAAACACGACCTTCCTTTGCTTGGCCAACGGTAGGCTTGTCACATTGCATTCATTGTTTTGCCCTTGCGGCGAAACTGACGTTTGTTATTTTCAGACGACCGTGTCGTTACCACCGAGGGGATGTCAGATTAGGCACTGATGGAAACTCTCCGAGACCACGGCGACAACAGATCTTCTGCGAAGGTTGACTCGTCACACGCTTCCATCTTGCGCCGCGACGAGTTGGCAGGCTGGTAGCTTTTGCGATTAGCCGATTAGTTTTGGGAAGGCGACGGCACGTTGTATGCAATGCAATGAATGCGATAGCAAAAAATTGTAATGCCATAAGAACTAAGGCTAGCAGCCAACGTTTTTGGATCCGATATCGCAAAACTCCTACAAAACGTTGGTGTGAGCAAATACGGTCACTCAGGAAGAAGTGCTTTTTTTCACACAGTCCCTTCACGTTGGAACTGCACTAATATTCGCCGAGATAGCAAGCGTGCCAGGGATCGCGGCCGCCCTTTTAATCCAAGTTCACTATTGCCACTCGAGCAACTTCCCGCCCCCTTCCCGCCTTGTTTCATGCTCGTTCAAGACATGTGGTTTACTTTCTGTTTTAGCAATCGACAGCAGTCCTAACACACGCGAAATGCTATCTTATGCACTTTCCAGGCGACGATAGGGATGGGACAACTCATTTGATTTCTGCTTCAGCAGCACTCGTGTGCTTTTACCTGCTTGTGACAGTTAGGATGCGCGGGGGCATATTATCAATATCGACTTGTTACGAAAATTGGCGGAAACGGAAAACCCACCGAAAGTGTCCATAATTGCTATCGCAATAATAAAGCAGTTCTTTACTGTAAAATAGGTGTTTGTGGTTAGCTTTACCTCTAGTCCCCTTTTTATTCAATTAGTGCATTTATTTTTTGAATTGTCGTATCGAACCTGCATATAACAAAATTCTCGTTAAAACAAATTTTTAAAGAAATTTATCAATTTTCTTATATCCAGGTTTAACTGTATTTTTATACGAAGAGGATAAGAGGTGAATGTACAAGCGAAAAGCACAGTTGTGTGCGGAGCTCTCTAAACACGGATTCTCAGAGTTACTGGCTTTTGTTTTCTTTGTAACCAACTTAGATATCATGACACACAACAAGGTCATTGATGTTACTGAACTTACCTGCTGTTCGGGTCCACCAAAAAGTCGACCATGTCACTCAAGTCAACCCGCCAAGTTTTCTCTTTAGGAATGGCCTGTAAACAAGCAAAACAGACTGTAAAATCACGTATGCAGTGAATGGTATGGCTGAGAGCATTTTTAAGCACACTTTCTAGCATAGGACTTTGTAGCTGCTTCCTTCAGTTCCATGACATGTTGCCAAAACAAAAAATCACTAGAATAAATAAATACTGGTATGGAAATAAAGCTGCATTACAGCTGTAACGACAAAGTACCAGTATGCTTCTCTAAGAGTAGTGAGCAGTAACACATTAAACATTGCCACAATCGACACAATAACTGCTTCGAAAAGCTGCCCAGTTGAGAAGATTAGACATGTAGCTTTCAGTCAGCAGAAGAGAAGTTATATTGATGCGAGGTAGGCTGGCAACTATAGTGGCCAGCCTCTCAAAGGAGGACAACCAAGTTGTTTATTGTGCGCATGCTCTGGTTTTTACTATTTTGCCTCGAGTGAAAATCCTGCTTTGTATTTGCGTCCCGGTGTATTCTAGCACCCATCTGCCAGCTTGGTGACATTTTCTAGTGGAGCTGTGGGGTACGGTAATTGATGCAGTCTCCATAGAGTACCCCAGAAGCAAGCCTATCGAGTAGCTCAACTGGCCTTATTCCTGTGCACGTGCGTTCCGGTCGTCATCTCCAGGGCCTCCAGCCACAGCACGGTTTGCTGCCTGAATGACAGAGGGCTACGAACCAAACACCCCCTATCATCACCACACCAGCACCAACGGAGCTGGTCATCAAGCAACCCAAGACGCCGCAGACATTTCACAGAGCTGCTCTTGAAGATGCTGAGAACTGGTTCGAGCCTTCTGAGCGGGTCACCATCATGAATGATTGGACACACTAGCATAAGCTACACTACGTCTACTGTGCTCTCGAACATTCTGAAAAAACGTAGTACTACGAGGCAACATTTCCGTGTGGGATGAGTTTCAACAGCAGTTCCTCAAGGCCTTTGCCAGAATGGACAAGAAGGAGAGGGCACAGTAGGTGATAGAGGCAAGGGTGACAACCTACATAGAAGACATGGATCGGCTTTCCAGGCATGCGGACCCCTCTATGACTAAAGCCAAAACAGTTTGCCACCTCATTTGAGGCGTCAAAGAAGATTTTAGCTAGCATACTTCGAAACCCACCTGCAAAACTTGTGCAGTTCCATGAAGAAGCAATGCCATGGAGAAGGCCCCTCAACAGCGTGCCAGGCATTGTAATTGCAATGTCATAAGCTCAAGTGAGGTAACTTCTGTCACTCTCGGCAATGACATAAGGGCCTTGCGAGAGCTCATCAGAGCTGTCATCTAGCTACAAAAGATGCAGGTTAATGTTCCACCTAAGGGGCAGCTCTGTTATGGAAATGGTGTATGCAGAGCTACACCAGGCTATCCATGTTCCCTAACAGTACGAAGCGCCACAACAGCGCCAAAATGAGCTACACAGGAGCAGTGGACATTTTCCACCATGCAGTACTTGCAGCATGGTGCACCCAATTGAGCGTTGTGCTCATCAATTGGAAGTACCATAGGCAACAGTCTTCACAGGCCCCCGTTGGTCACCAAAACGAGACATCTGGCGAACACCCGACCACAGGCCCTTTGTTTGCACTGTGGGGAAGCTGAAAACATCTACCGAACATAATGCACTGTGGGTCTCCATGGATTCTTGCAAAACGCCCCTTGTGCCCGACCTGGCGAGCAACAGACAGCTTCATCTCCAATCATCGCAACATTGAACATTGGTTGCACGAACCCAGTTTGTCATCGCCTGTTTGCTACAGGTCACCAAGCACAGCCTCCTCATACGACGCTACAGGACGACGCTCGCCCAGTCTTGCCGATTAGAAAAACTGAGTTCAGCGACCTTCAGAGGCGAGGCCGCTGGCGCAGATTGTACAGAAGATCCTCCATTACGGCAAAGGTGATGGAAGAGACCTTTTGCTTTTTGGAGCACATTCCTGAGCAGAAAAAATGGTGCTTTGGAGCAGCCTTGAGTGTCTTCGGAACAGAAAAAATGCTATAGCTTAGGGTTGCTATTGGTGTTTTCGGAACAGATGTATATTCGTATCGGCTCTTGAGGTTTAAAGCATCACTTAAGGATCTAATATATATATTTGTTATTAAACATGCCGTACGCTAGTATGCAGCTAGTATACAAGCAGTATAGTTGGGGTAAATCGTGGGGGAGCGGGGTCAAGAGAGCCTAAACTTTTCTGGCGTTCAGGCTGGGGAGCACACCTCTTGCAAGTGTCGCACCTGAGATTTAGCTTTAGCACATGATATAATTGAGTTAACAGTTAACTCTTTCGTTACCACGCAAAAATGGTTGTTTTTCATGTCTCTAAATGATCGTATTTGCTAGTTTGTAAATTACTCCAGCGAGCACTGCAGAATACCAAACTTTGCACAATGAAATGCTCTTTCGACAAATTATATGCTGTAGATTAACAAAATATTTTAAAATGAATAAAAATGTGAGAAGTATGTAGTTTTTGGTTGTTAGCTGGTAAACAGTACAATAAAGAAACACTATACTTGCAACGAAATTCATAACAAGAAAAATTCAGAATATACATTTTGTATATGATTGACCCAGGAACAGTATAAAAGTAATGAATAAGAAATAATGAAATAAGAAAATCTAAACCAAGGTGCTGCTTCATTGCTCGTGCCATGCGGTAAAGCATGGCATGGTTTTTCGTGAGGCACAAGTGAACCCGTACACTTTTCTCAGAAAATATTTTTTGTGTTGCGGTAAAAGTCTCCAGGTGTTCTAATATAGATGGATGCCCGTGAAGTGAATGATCCCTCATTAAATACAATGTCCAATGAACTTCGTTATCTTATCTAGCGTCACCTCTTTCCATGAGCCACCTCAATTCGCATAGGTTGGCTTTCTAATATATGCATCCAAGCATATTTCTTTGTATTTTTGAGCATATCGTATTAAAAAGAAAAGACAACCTTGCGCGCAGTTCTAAAACATTCCACACTACTTTGTAGTCAGGGCCAAAATGTGCTTTGGGAACCTTCTTCTCGTTAGGAGAAGGCCTACAGCTGGCGCCAGCGCACCACGCCCCAGCGAAGTGTAGTCCTCGCACGTAACCGGAGTAGCTTTAAGATTGCGCACAAAGGTCAGAAGCTATACGCACTTGCCATGGAGGAGACAACTTGAGGATGTAAACAAAACAAACCCATGAACGGCTGCAGATGTCTCAGGCTGACGTGAAACATCGTAGCCATAAAACTTGAAGCTGAGGTGCGGTCATCCTCGAACTCTAAGCTCGCCCTCACTTAATCCAGGTGGGGTTGCCAGACAGTTTTGAGCAGCGCATGTGTTTTGCAGAACTGGTGCGTACCCACGCGCGGGACAAAGACATAGTAGGACCAACTAGTGACACTAGATGAGACCCTGTGCCTGATATAAATATGCAAGCAAAACCAAAGTTGCTGGAAACTGCCAGAGAAGGGCACCTCGACACTTCAAACATGCTGCAGACCTTCATAAATATTTTTTGTAGAACAAATCTTCCTGGACTCCTACGAACAGATCTCTATTGAATAGCTGGCATAAACTTCTGGCAATAACAAATGCTTAATGTTGTGAAATTGCGAAGCTGACACTTTATTGAATATTTGGCTTGCAAAAGTTCTTTTGATTACATAAATTTGATGTTACTGTAGCATAATCACGAGGGGCACGCACTTCTGTCAAGTTCGCCAGCTAACTGCACTTTTCCAACAATACACGCACATTGGTTTGCTCAAAGGTCCGTCAAAAATTACTATGTTGACAAAACGGGCGAATTCAAATTGATTCTGAAGGTTGAGTGGCTGGACTAAGCACTACTAGAAAATGCTGGGTGCACGGAAAACAAAACTAACATGCCAATATCGACGATTCAAAAGCGTCGATCATAGGCTTGGTAATGAAAGAGTGAAGTATAGTGCAATCAAAGGCTTTTTATTACCCGTGCTAAATGCCCCTCAGCTGTGTGAACTATGAAAATCGAAAAAAGGTTAAAAAAAGAGACGGTATAGAACTATGCAACTTCTCGAGCTCGAACCCCATGCTCGTTTTTTTAAATTTTATTTGAAAGCATGATTTATTCCCGATATATAAAAAATACAACCCAAATTAGAAATACGAGTTAGACACCACGGCCTGATATGTGTCCCTCCTTGAGATTTTTCTGGATTCCCACCACTGTGTAGCATACTAGGATGATAGTGTATACAGATTGCTTTTGGTTTCGCTGAGGCTCACAGGATGGTCCCATGGTTGAACTTTATTCTTTTTAGTTTGCCAACATCCTTTCGGAGAAGGTTTGGAGCAGTGACTAGGAAATATTGCACTTTGGAGCAGCATGGAGCGGCATTTTTCCTTTGGAGCACTTTGGACCAATTGGAGCAGCACTTCCATCCCTGCAACAGTGAGGACAGCAGGGAAATATACAGACGCAGTCAAAATTGATACGAAGGGTGGTGACGTCAAACGTTTTGGATGACAGAGTATTGGCACTAATTGACAATAAAGCAGACACCTCCATTATGAGCACGGGCCTCGCCTGCAAGCTGACGAAGGTGGTGGTGAAGGTGGTGTTGCAGCAGGCAGGATTATCCTGGCCTGCATGGCCAGCAATTGTTTCACCTGAGCATATTCTGAATTTCGAAATTGTCACCACGTGTCAGACAGCCCAGTGTCTCGCAGGAAGACCAACAAAATTCGTTGCATGTTGCTCCTAGTTGCCGCGGGTCCTTCAGGAAAGATGACGTCATCAACTGTCCAGTGCCTATGACAGCCTTTTTGCAAGGTGCGGATCATTGCTGTTCTTTGCACATCAAACTGTGGGCAAAGCCAAATGAAATGTTCAATATCCCCGATGTCACCGCAGAAGGCACAGAATGAGGAAGCGTATCTCCCAGTCTTGAATGACCCGTCCGGGGTGTATGCGGAGTCGGTTCTTATGTGGTACAACAGCGTCGCTTGTTCACGAGAAAGTTCATGAATTACACATGCT